CCCCAAAACCCCAAAACCCCAAAACCCCAAAACCCCAAAACCCCGTAGAATTGCAATAAAATTGAATAATTCATAACCTTAGTAGTTCCCTGGCGCTACAAAGTTGTAATCATAAGGATTCGCCTTATCCTTATGAGGGAATATTTTTGATTGAGGAGGGGTCTGTTTAATCCTTTGATCGAAGCCATAACCACGATTGATAGTGTTAGCCCTGTATTTTATCGCATCTTCCTTCTCCATATTTTCACGCACCCTCTGAAGTTTATTTGGGTTATATGGATCAACTGGATCTCTGGTAGGCTCTTCCTCTCCATCTGCTAAGATATTAGCAGAACGGTTGAGATACATCTTACCCATCTTGGCAAGATGACTTCCTTTCTCTGAGGAGATATCAAGCTTATTATGCTCGGGGGATCTTATCGGACTGCTCTGACTCTTATCATCCATTTTCATTGACTTATCAATGTATTTTTCGAGTCTATTATCACCTCCAAACCCTGGGACTTTAGAGTATAAGTTATAAGTATCTTGGTGCTCATATGCTTTAATGTCACGATCATTTACTCTTCTCTCATGCTCAGTCATCAGGACAGAGTATTGCTTCCTTTTCTTGTTCTCAGAGATCTGGCTAGTAAGGGCCTTATAATAATCAGCTTTGGCTAGTTCCTTCTTCCTTCTATCATCAGCCATCTCTTGTCTATATTTATCAGCCTCCTGGTTATAATGCTGAGCGATTGCTCTTTCCTGCATTTGCAAATTTTGCTGGTGAAACTCCCGCTCCTTAAGCTGCTGGGCGAGGGAGTTATAGTTAGAGATCTGATCCTTCTGTTTCTTGTTCTTCTCTTCATGATCCTTCATGATGCCATTTTTCTCGGCAATCTCAAGATTCTTAAGATAATTCTTCTCATCTTGTTTGCTTCGGAGTTCTTTCGGATCTTGCTCCATATATTCTTGTAACTTCTTTTGTTTAAAGTCGTTTCGTTCTTGGATTTGATGCAATTTTTGGAAGAAACGATTCCTATCTTCTTCCTCTTTGTTTAACTTCAATCTTTCAGCTTCTGAAAATTGTCTGTCAGCAACTTTTTCATAATTAGCTTGGTCAAGTCTGGATTTATGCTGAAGAGCAAGAATTTTAGAATAATTAGCTTGGTCAGTCTTGTATTTTTCTTTTTGTTCAAGACGTTTTTGGGTGTCAATCTGTTCCTGCATCTTCATTTTATCGTGATACATTTGCCTCTCCATATCTCTCATTTGCTGTTGTTGTTTATTTGATTATGCTCATCTCGTTCATGGACTCAAAAGCTGCTGTCTTAGCGTTGTTGACCAGTTGGCTCCGCTTCTCGTCCTCTTTGCGGTTTTTATCATCAAGGTCCTTCTGGTAGGCCTTGAGCATCTGGTCTTCCTTCTGTGCCTGCTCAGACACTGCACCCTTCTTCTTGTCGAGATACTCCCGGTACTGCTGGTCAAGCTGCATTTTGTAGCTTTTCTGCCGCTCACGGTGCTTGGCCTGTTGCAGCCGTTTCAGCTCCTGGTCGATCTCGTCCTGGTGCTTGATGACTGCGCCCCACTCGTTGAAGACGTTCTCTCGCTCGTGCACTGGCATCGGCCGCAAGTTGTAGCTGTTGTTCAGGCTGTTGTTCAGAGCGCCGTTCTGAGCACCGTTCGGAGCTCCGACTGTGGCCGAGCCGTTGCGAGTGTGGCCCTGCCTCGCGCTCATGGATTTGGAGTTTGGCTTGTGGCCTCTGGCTGCTTGGCCTCCGTCGTTATACTCGTTTGCATTGGACTCTACAGGTTAAGGCTTAGTTACCGTTTTGTCTGGGCCTGTATCTCTCTTGAGATTTAGGAGCAGAAGTGACTCCGTTGTGTTCTCTGCTTTTCCTGAGGCTGGCGTTGTTAAGGGCAGGAGCTTTAATAAAAGGGTCGTATCTTTCCTGGGCACTTGGAGATCCAGCCTTGGGCTGTGATATTCTGTGAATTCGATTATTCGAAGGCTATATTTATCATTTACTTTTTCATACCTGCACTACGTGGTTCTGATATGAATCTCCATTGTTATAATTTCGAGTTTGAGAATTAGCTGGGAGTTGATTGTTTCCAAACGAATTATACCCATTTGGCTGATAAGACACATTTTCTGTAGTATTTGGTAGCATTTTTATGTCACTGTAATAAATTTAATATTCAGCTTTATTTTCTAAATAAGGGGTTTTGGGGTTTTGGGGTTTTGGGGTTTTGGGG